GAACATTTAAGAAAATCATTATGTATTTTTTGAGACATCAATTAAAAAGTCACTTTGGATTAATGTCATTCAAGTTTATTTTAGTTGTCAGATACAACTATCTCTCAGTCTTTAATATAATCTCTCTTTTTTCTCTCTTTCTTTCCTTTCCTCTCTCCCTCCTCTATCTTTCTCTCTCCCTCTCTGTCTCTCGTCATCCACTCTACCTGATCCTCCCCTTCTCCCTTTATCTCTCTTTCCATTCATCCATCCGTCTGTCTATCTATCTATCTATCTATATTTTTCCATTCCCGCACTCCTCCACTCTCTTTCTCTATTTCTATCTCTCATTCCATCCATCTATATTTTTTTCATTCTCGCCCTCCTTTCACCCTCTCTCTATGTATATCTCTATCTATCTATCTCTTATTCCATCTAACTATATTTTTCCTTTCTCGCCATCCTTCCACCTTTCTCTCTCTCTTCTCTCTCACTTCCTCTCATTCCCACCTTTTCTGCCCCCTCCTCTCTCTCTCTTCCCCCCCCCCCTCTCTCCTCTCCCTCCCTCCCACTCTCTNTTTCTCTACTCTCTCGTTTCTCTCGTCATTCACTCTCCTGATCCTCCCCTTCTCCCCCTCTCTTCTCTTTCCATCATCCATCAGTCTGTCTATCTATCTATCTATATTTTTCTATTCCCGCACTCCTCCTCCACTCTTTCCTCTATTTCTATCTCTCATTCCATCCATCTATATATTTTTTTTCATTCTCGCCCTCCTTTTCACCCTCTCTCTATGTATATCTCTATCTATTTATCTCTTATTCCATCTAACTATATTTTTCCTTTCTCGCCATCCTTCCACTCTCTCTCTCTCTTCTCTCTCACTTCCTCTCATTCCACTTTTCTGCCCCCCCCCTCTCTCTCTCTCCTCCCTCCCCCTCCCCCCTCTCTCTCTCTCCCTCCCCCCCTCTCTCTCTCTCTCTCTCTCTCTCTCTCTCTCTCTCTCTCTCTCTCTCTCTCTCTCTCTCTCTCTCTCTCTCTCTCTCTCTCTCTTCTCTCTCTCTTCTCTGTCTTCTCTTTCTTCTCTCTCTCTCTCTGGCAACAAACCAAACCTCATGACGACAACTAAAATGGTTTAGGTTTATAAGGAAACAGAATGGGAACTAATTATTGTTAAAAAGACCGTTATTAAACTGCACTAGGAACGAAAGAGTAAATTTAATGGTTCATCATAATGCTAATTACCTTTCTTAATTTGCTTAACAATTTGCCATATATTCAGTCATTTCGTAAGCCTGTCTTGCAAATGAATGTGTTACTTGCTGCATGAAATTTTGTTGTACGAAATCTATGTACCTCATGATCCCTAAGTGCAAGTCTCACGCAAGATTCTCACTTGCTTTTGTAATCTTCTGTAATCCAGTTTCGCACTTACGTCACGATATTCGCCATCATCGTAATATTTATATCACGTAATCGCTCCCGATATTTACGTAGGAAAATCGACGCATTAATTTCATATAATGATCGATCAATTATCAGTGACGAAACAAAAAAAAAGAGATGCATTAACCTCGTTTTCCATTTCGATTTCGAGGGACTGAAAAAAAAATAAGAAAAAGTTCTCAATATCACCGGATATTAATTCAAATTTCCGTTGGGGCTTCACCTCATTACGTCAAGTGAAATGTCAAAGACGGTTTTTTTGCGCGGGAAAATGGTAAGAGTTACGAGCTTAAATCAAGTTCTTCGAATTTGGGAATTGAAGTTCGACTTTCACTTCGACCTGTGAAGATGGCCTTGATATAGATTTTTTTTTTCTTTTTCTTTTTTTTTTAGGTGTTTGTAAGTAGGCCGTGTTCGTTTTATGACCTGACTTGACTCGTATTCCAATGCTAATATATTTAAATCGGATTTCTTTCTTGTGCGTGGATTTAGATGTCCATAAAATGTCAGAGAATAGCCTGCGAACATGTAATACTTACTGAATCGACGGTTAATGATTGCTTTCTTAAATCAGTTGAACAAATTTAGCCATCCAAGGCGACTTTTCCCTCCGCGTTCCACCTACTAAACCCAGCGACCAAACCCGTTTAACCAGTATTTTCCTGTGTGCCTGTTCTTTGGCTACACTTTGAGATGTGTTCAGAGGCAATTTTTTTTTTTTTTTTTTTTATCCGCTCTTTCGCTTTTATCGGATGTTGTTTTGATGTCACTTTTTATCCGTTCTTTCGCTGTTATCGGATGTTTCTATGTCTCTTTTTTTTCCTGGTACTCTCCTTTGGTATTACGGTTTTTAGAAGTCCTTTCCGGATGTGATCTTTGGATATCACTTCTTTTTGGATTCCTTTTTTAAAATTTAAATGTCGTCTTTCCAATCACGTAACGAATGCGACGTGTTCTACCTTCATATGTTCTTCGTTTGTGCTTCTCACGCCCCCGCCCTCCCCCTTCAGATGGGCATGTGTGGACGTGTCGCTGCCTTCCTGGCCTTGGTGGTCTTGGCCCACGCGGACTCGGGCTACCATTTAGGTGCTCCTGGCGGAAACGGGCTTGGAGCAGGAGCTGGCTTCGGAGGAGGAGCCGGAGCAGGAGCTGGATTTGGAGGAGGAGCCGGAGCAGGAGCTGGATTTGGAGGAGGAGCCGGAGCAGGAGCTGGATTTGGAGGAGGAGCCGGAGCAGGAGCTGGCTTCGGAGGAGGAGCTGGAGCAGGAGCTGGATTCGGAGGAGGAGCCGGAGCAGGATTCGGAGGAGGAGCTGGAGCAGGAGCTGGCTTCGGAGGAGGAGCTGGAGCAGGAGCTGGCTTCGGAGGAGGAGCTGGAGCAGGAGCTGGATTCGGAGGAGGAGCTGGAGCAGGAGCTGGCTTCGGAGGAGGAGCTGGAGCAGGAGCTGGATTCGGAGGAGGAGCTGGAGCAGGAGCTGGCTTCGGAGGAGGAGCTGGATTCGGACCTTCTGGACCTTCCTGCCCCTACGTGACCTCCTACGTCACTGAGCACCGCACCCGAGTGCAGGAGGTAATGCAATGACCCCTTTCATGCTCTCACTGCCTGAGCGTGTGTATAGAGCATTATCATTATTTCTGAAGTTCCTTGTGCTAAATATCTCCTTGACACTTCTCATCATTTATCGTTCTTTCTATCTGTCCAGGTTCCCTCTTACGAAACGGTTTACAAGAACGGCTACGACGTGCAGACCGTGCACGTCCCCGTCGTGAGCACCATCGTCCAGACCGAGAAGGAGACGAGGTACGTCCCCGAGTACGTCACCACAACCAGCTACGACAACGTCATCGAGACCGTCCACGACCGCAAGACTGACTACGTGACCAACTTCGACTCGGTCACCATCACCAACGCCCAGTACGTGCCCAACACCGTCACCGTCACCTCCATCTCGACCGTCGTGTCCGTCCAGGTGCAGTACGCCACGGTGGTCGAGACCCAGTACGTGCCCCAGCCCCTCGTGCAGACCTCGACCAACTACAAGGTCGAGTACGAGAACCAGATTGTCCCTCGCTACGTGACCGACGTGACGACCGTCAAGACCTACACGACAGTCTGCCCTTACGGAATCTAAGGCGGGGCCGGAGCGCCGTGCGGTCGGGAACGCAAAAAAAAAACATCTTAATATTATTTTGCTGGTATTTAAAATCTATGGATGTCAGTATTTAATGATGTGTTGTGATTGCAATAAATATATTAGCGACTCTGAGAAGTTTGATAGCATATCCTTGATAATTGGTGGTTTATTTTCACTTCGTGGTGAGTGTTAAACCGTTCTGGCTGTAAATGCGGTGGCTTTTTTTTTTTTAAAGCTAATGCCAAGTTTTGATTCTCAAAATCACCTGTATTTTTCCCGTTTTTGTGTGTAGCGAGTGCTTATCTCATTCCGTTTTGGGCGCTGATCATAAGGCATCGCACAGTCTGAACAAAAAATTCTGGTTGCTGATCCATGAAAGGCGACAGGGTATATAATTTGCAGCGAACACCTGACCCCGATGTATAATCTAGATATTATAATGATAATAAGGTGTAGTAGTAATGATAATTATAATGGCAATAATTAGTAACTGTGATAATAATTATGATAATTGTAATAGAAATGGTAAAGATAACTTTTAAAAATTGAGTGTGTGTGTATTTGTGTGCGTGCGTGTGCGTGTGGAGAAAGTGAGATAGATGTCCCAGAATTCAAAACAAGATACGAATGACTAACTGACTGGCAATAATTTAGAGTAAGAAAAAAAAATTAGACCTATGAACTTTGTGAAGGTTATTCAACTTGTGAGCTTTTCAGAGCTTAACCTGCGGTATGTCTCAGGGAGAAAGGGCATCAACGTTTAATCAACTATAAACATCTACATATGAACGATGCAGTTAAATACACGAAAAGATGATTTTAAAAGACTACAAATGTAACGATTTCCTTCCAGAATCTATGGTCAACAATCGGTCAATTCTCAAACTTTAACTTTCCAGGAATATTCAAACACAACCTCACAGAGAGCTTTATTTGGACCTTCAGTACACAGACAGATGGATGAACAAATATGTTTATTATGAGGTTACTTCTTAATTTGTGTTGCTGTTTTTTCCTGTCAGATACGTTTTTATATGTTATATGTTGTGTAATATTATATAAACACACACATACACACACAACAAATTATATATATATTATATATATATATATATATATATATGTGTGTGTGTGTGTGTGTGTGTGTGTTTTATACATATATGTAAATATATTATACATGCATTAATATCAGATATGAATATATATATTATATATATATATATATATATATATATATATATATATATATATATATATATATATATATACATGTATGTATCCTATATGCATATATATATATATGTATACATAATATTTTTCATATATATATTGTGTGTGCGTGTGTTTATATAAGTATGCCTACATGTTGAATATTCAAGCGAACTACTATTATAGTCATAGTTACTGCTTTGAAGTGTAATTTTACAAGAATTTAACCGGATAA